GACTTTTGGAAATATGTGGTCGTTTTGCGCATGACCATGATATCATATATAATGTCACTAAATCTAAATGTATGTGTTTTTATAGTCGACACAGTGTTTTCGAAATACCACCAGTATATTTGTCGGGACAGCCAATGGAACTTGTTGACCAATTTACATACCTTGGCCACAAGCTTACTAGTGATTTGAAAGATATCACTGATATGGATCATCAGAAACGTCTATTTTGCATCAGGGCTAATCTTCTATTACGGAAATTTTCAAAATGTTGCTATGAGGTCAAACTTTTGTTATTTAAAACTTTTTGTTATAACTTTTTCTGCTGTCAACTATGGTGCTCCTTTCGGAAGTCGAACATTAATGCTTTGCGTGTATTTTACAATAACTTGTTTCGCCGGTTTTTTCATTACCCATTATAGTGTAAATCATATGTTTGTATACAATCATGTCAAGTCTTTTTACGAAATTTTTAGAAATCTTGTATTTAAATTTAGAGAGCGTATATACAACTCTGATAACAGTCTGTTGGTGAGCTTATGTAACTCTGATGTCCGTTGGAAGTCTGCCTTGTTCCAGCATTGGAATAATACTTTGTACTATTAATGTTTCCATAAGTACACTGACCTATATACATATATTTTTTGTTCATTTATTTATTTATTTTTCATACTAGTTTTATATGGACTTTCAAATGATTGACAATCTGAAATAAAGATAAATAATAATAATAATATTATTTATAACAAAATTAGCATTCATAAATGAAACCCAATTTTTAAATAATATATATGCAGTGTTCAATGACGTTAGTTTATGTGCGGATTGTTGTATTTAACAGTAAGGGTCATAGTGCACATGTACCGGTATATTTCCAGGTAATCACATGTTGATGCGCGACAACGTTTTCTTTATGTGAACTGTCTATACAGTGTAATTGTAGTACGAGGTATCTTTGTATTTATATGATGTATAATGCTTGAAAATTCGGTACACAACTGGAACATTGTGATCTCGCGTAGCATACTGGTACATTTGGTTCTATTCTACTTTTTTAGTGTGAGTACGAAGGATCCACAGGAAGGATAAAGTGGTGAGTATTGTGTTGACTTTAATAGCAACATAATGATAGTTACCATGTAACTATTATTGTGTTAATGCAAATACATTTCGGTTCTGCATATTAATTGAAAGTATGTCTCTGTTTAGTTTTAGTTGTGTGCATTTAGTTTTGCAAAATAGGGTTATTATAGACGCAAAACTATGATAGCAATGCATGGGAACAGACAAGCGGCGCTCATTTGATCAAGCATTGGGATAAACATATATTTGTAGAAATTGCAGTATGCTAACCTTTATTTTGTTCAAAAGACTACACATATTAACATCATACTGTTGTTCTATGTCAACCACATATCTTCATATTCAGTATGGAATTTTTAAATTAGATTATAGTCGATAGAATTACAATTGAAGGGCATCTCCTAATAAATCATTTTGATCTGATTATCAGGAAATATCAACCGGTTTGACATATAGTCTTTACGTTGGTATACTATATGTAACTCGTGTGTGGTAGTCTGGCAATACGAGTGTATATAACAATAGAATGCAGTGCTAGTGTTCTTTACATTAACATAATCCCTATAATGCTATGCACTGACCGTTAAAAACGTTTTAAAATGTATTGTATTGAATGTTTGAATACAACATTACATTGTTAATATTATTTGAAATTTTGTGATTATATACATAGTGAAAAACATAAACTTTCATATGATGGCATAGTGGCCGACATATTGTACCATTGCATCATATATTTCAAAATATTCCGGTCTATCAATATTACAATATATTGGTGTGTTACAAGTTGAGATTATTCAGAATATTAAAACAATGGTATATCAACAATTTAAAACGCTCTAATATATCTCTCATTTCAAATTAGCTGGTGACTTTTGTTTTGTTTTTATAAATATTGTGAATAGATAGATTGGTGGTATGGCGCGTGCACATGTATGTGAGTGTCACAGTATATGGCCTACTTATTGTTATTGAGAGTGCCACCGACAGAACTCACACAAGACAGGAAGTTCTTTCACTGCTGAAAAGTGGTAGACAAGACAATAGTACTGAAAATGAAATACATATACACCAAAATATCAAGTTAAAACTTCTGGCCCACTTCTCAAAATAATTACAAAAAAATAAAGCACAACAAATACAATGAATAAATTCAGTAAACTAGGGGATTGCCTGGGGAAGTGTGCATTGGATGTGGAAATTGATGACAGTCCATGGCTTCTGCAACATAACGACAAAGAAATACAAGAGTCTTTCTTGCAGAAAAATGCTGTTATTCTGGAGGCACCGCTGATAGCAGGGTGTCGCAGAGCAGTTCATATAAGTTTCACAGGATAATGATTGAAGCCTCTGTCACTTGTCTCACAATATTCCAGCAACAATACACATAATATTCAGTTGACAAGGTGGACCACAGCTGTTCTCAGTTTAGCCAATTTATAGACATATATGGCCCAGATTCGGGTACACCCCCTGGGTTTCTACATGAGCCAATCAAAATGTGGTCTTGCTAGCAGCTGTCTCACGTAGGCAAGTCAGTAGAATTGTAAACAACCTTTGTTATGTAAATCACAAGTACACCTGGTAGATTCCAATTGTCCTTCCAGAGTTGTAAAGAAGTATGACCTGTCAATCATCTTTATGACAGTTATTACATGGCAATTCACACCATTTCTTCCCATGACTCCATGCACACTTCTATTTGCAGGGTTTCAGGTAATATGACAAAAACATAGACTTGTGTACACACACAACACTACGGGACCCAGTTACAAATCATGACAACACGTAAAAGGCCAGGATTACGGTATACGTACATATGTACATATATTTGTTGGCAATATAATGTCAGCCAAAAAACAAACAAAAAAACAGTACCCTGAACACTTGGGGTAACCAATGAGATTTAACATTTTAAAGCTATTGTTCCGTTATAGGACACTCATAAATGGCAGACGTTGAATCAATGAGTGTCATTAAAGATTTTGGACGATTCCAGAAGAGGCAGTTTCTGTTATTCTGTCTCGCAATATTTGTACATCCGTGGTTCAGTATTGGAAACACATTTTACAGCGCTTCAGTCGAACACTACTGTCGTGTGACTGACAATCAAACATTCTCTGACAGTTCACATATGAAGAAATGTACCATACCATATAGGTATGTGAATGGTGATTTGAAATGGGATTCGTGTAGAATGTATGCTAACAATTTAACAAATCAAAACGAATCAATACATTTTGATACATACTCCCAGACATGCCGACCATCCAACGTTACCCGTTTATGTGATCGAGGCTGGATTTACGACAGACGGGATTTACACAGTACTGTTGTCACGGAGGTAAGTATAATAATAAATAAAATAAAATGCATCGTTTAAAATGAAAAATGGTTATCAGTCAGTGCTGTCTCTCCTAATAGAAAAAAACAAATACTCTCCAATCTGTCTGACCACGTTGTCTCCAGTTGTACTCATTAGATAAATAAATTTCTGCTC